AGTCTTTCACTTGCAACCCATTCCTCGGCCGTTCCCAGTATTATCCTTCTTCCCTAGCCCGCTTTTTTCTCTCTATTGATTGACCTAGAGTTTCAATCGTGCAAATTTGACCATGCCCGCAAAACTCGACCGATCGCGCAAAGTGAAAGACTTGAAAACCTTGGAGGTAACATTGTCCCACGGGGGTACGGAGTCTAAAGAGGGATCTGCTCCTTCATCATCAACGTGGAGTTTTCGAACTACAGCGCAAGCGATCTTCTCAAAGCGATCATGGAAAGAAACTCAGACCCGATCATTGGGAGGATGCTAGTAGCTCTATCAGATAAAATTTTTAAAGAGGTTTCAACCTCCGTTGAGGCCAAAAAACGATCCCGTAGCCTCGTTATAAGTGGGTTGGAAGAGGCTCCACCTCAGATGCGACCATCGGAGAAGCAACGTTATCTAGAGGATAAAGTAAGTGATCTACTGGACACCCTCAAAGTCGAATGCCGTCCTGTGGAACTTTATCGATTGGGTAGGCCGGAGCTGGTCGACCTAGGCTTGTCAAGTTGGTACTACCATCGAGGACTCACTGGAAAACGGCCTTAGGAAATGCTAAATGCCTTAAGGCGTCTACATCATTCAAAAATGTTTTCATTAGGAAGAGTATGACAGCAGAAGAGAGGAAAAGAGAGTACGAACTTAGGCAACAAGCAAGGGAAAAAATAAAGGAAAGGATAGACATGAATGGGTGATCTTCAGAGGAGAGCTTAAACATATCAGTGACCTCCCAAGCCAAAGGTTGGGAAACCTGTAACGATGCATGGTGGTCTACAGGAACATCGTTTAAAATGTTTTCTCCTCAATGCTCCGCAGTATTACCAAAAAATTAGTTCATCTACATGCTTTTTTATCTGAAATGAAGCCTGACATCCTCGTAATAACAGAAACTTGGTTGACCCCGCATATTCTTGACTCTGAATTGACTGGTGGTTTCCCTTACTTCCTGTATCGGAAGGACCGTACCCAGAGAAAAGGTGGAGGAGTCTGTTGCATAGTGAGGTCTTTTCTTAACTGCACGGAAGTGAAGTTGAACACCAACATGGCCCCAGACATACTCTGCTGTGATATTCTTATGCATGGGGCCGCCTCTCCTCTGAGGATCATCTCGGTCTATCGCCCTCCAAACACTTCGCCAGTCGATGACTCTACATCTATAACGACACTATTCTGCTAGGTGACTTCAACCTTAACATAGAGTGGGAGTATAAACAATCCAATAAACCATACCTCTGCCAAATTTCTTGATTTTTTCAGTAGCTGCAACCTCACGCAGTACGTAACGCAGCCCACACACGGCCGCAACATTCTCGATATCATACTAATGCTCATCACAGATTATTGCTAATGTGAAGGCATTACCACCTCTCTTCTTCTGACCATGGGGTAGTTTCGTTTTAAATCCTTGAAGAGCACCGTATCCTTGATTCCGCAATCACTTTACCTCTTCCTGTCCCGAATTTCAGCAGTGTAAACTACAAAGCATTGAACTCTTACTTTCTTAGTGTGGATTGGCTCACCTTGTTTGACAACTTCACATCAGCTAGTGATGTCTACAAAAGATTTTGTGAGCAATTATACATTTCTCTCATTTTTTAAGTTCAGAACTCCTCAAACGATACGCACGGCATATTCAATACATGTAAGGAACTTAGTCGCTCAGAAAGAAAGATTATTTCTCTCTCTTAACCGTCCATTGGAAAATAACCTCTACAGAAAGGTGTGTCGGGACCTTGACGGCCATGTAAAGAAGCTTCTTGCCAATCGTGAACATCGTCTTACAAGAGGGTCAAATTTGAAACGGCTTTTCCACTATATTAGACAGAAAACAAGAGATAATTCAGGGTTACCTACCTTGCTTGATACCTCGGGCAAGAAATACATTTCAGATATGCAGAAAGCCAGAATATTAGGCGAATATTTTGCTTCCGTATTCTTCCAGCAGTGGCTCTGAGCAAACGTACCAGATGTTAGGGGTATTCCACATATAGAAAGCAGACTTTCGGGGGTCTTCTTTCACCCAGAAGATGTCCGAAAGATGCTAGAACCTTCCACGTCAGAAACATACGATGGAATCCCCCAGATAGTATATAAAAAGTGTGCTTCATCCTTATGCCAGCCATTAACGCATATTTTCAACATTTCTATGATTCTTGGCGAGGTGCCGGATCTTGTGGAAAGAAGCCTTGGTCACGGCCATACCTAAATCTCCTAAGGCTGCAAACATCTCCGATTTTCGACCGATAAGCATTACGCCTGCCCCAGTAAGCTAATGGAGAGACTAATCAGAGACAAGATACTGGGTTGGCTTGAGAAGTTCAACATGATTCCAAAAGAACAGCATGGTTTCTTGAGTGGGGCCTCCACGGTATCCAATTTATTAGATAGCTTGTTTGACTGGCAATCCGCTCTGAACAATGGAAAATCCGTAGACATTGTCTTCGTTGACTTGTCAAAAGCATTTGATAGGGTCTGCCACCGTAGATTGCTAGTCAAATTGCAGCATCTGGGGATTTCTGGGCAGCTTCTAGATTGCTGAGATCTTTTCTAAATCAACGATACATGACCGTCAAGGTTCGTCACAGCTTCTCTGAC